ATTATTTCCAATCCTTGCTTCTTCTATTTCCAACCTTCTTCATTCCAACCTCTCCATTCTCTTCTTTCCATTTTCAGCTCTTATCCCAATACTCCTCATTCTTCATGATGAAGTGGATTAATTTAGTAAATGGGTAGGTCATTGTAACATTTTTTTAATTGAAATTCTAATTTTTTCTTGAATAATTGAATTTATTTATTATTATTTGACAAATTTAAATTTGATAAAAAAATTAAGTTTGGCAATGAAAAATTATTTTGATAAAAGACAGAGATGTAATGCATTTAGCACAGTTTCTTAATCTAAAGAATAAAATTCAGAATATACAACAAAATACATCAATTGAAAATTTGAATTTATATCACTTGAAGTAATATTTTGTTACAACTAGCCAGAAATTTTAATCAGAAATAAATAAATATATGTATGTAAATATGCATATGTGTGTATATATATATATATATTCACAAAAAATCACAACTGCAAATGGGGCACCTCTGAATGCTATTTATGCATCCAAAAATTGCTCTTTGGTGGTTGACATAGATGGCTACCAAAGAGTTGAACATTGCAAAGGAAGCTGCCCTGAGACCATACGACAACTACGTCTTTTTTAAAATATTGAAAAAAAAAAAAAAAAAAAAAAAGGAAAAGGAAAAAGGAAAAAAAAGACTCAAAACAAAACAAAACAAAACAAATCAATTGTGGCTCAGGTCATGCAAACTCTGTAGGGTAAGACCTGACTTCTTCCAGTGGAGAAACAAGAAATTAGATGCATTGCCATTTGAAGTTGTCAGGAGAAAGCCGTATCTCACAAATGCAATAGATGTATTAGAGCAAAGGAAGGAAGTAAATGCACAAGACCAATGAGTCAGAAGAGAGTAACAAAGCTCCAACAGTTGAGAATGGTAATTGCATGTATATAAAGTCCCTACTTAGTAAGAATCTTACTGGGTAGAGATTGGTTCAGAAGAAGAACTTGAGGTTGCATTTGTCTGGTGCTTTATCAGCATTAGATTCAAATAAATTAAGACAGGATTGGCACTGCCAAATAGTCATATTGAATACTTCAGCAAAATTGGACACTCAATGTAATAATAATAAAAATAACCTTTATCCCATGTTAAAAAATTAGTTAATAAGTTGTTTAGAAGCATTTGCTTGAAGATTTTGTGGATTAAGTGCAATTCAAAAACCTTTGATGGAGGAATATGGAATGACACAACCACTCTTTAGAGTATAACTATGCGGAAACATGCCCAGGAAAAAGTAAAACTTGATACCAACCTAACATGATTACGAAGGGGAGAACACACTTATTATACTACAAGGAGGATGAAAAAACATGTGAATGGAAAAAAGTATTAGAGGCTATTTTAAAAAGGAATAAAAGTCAAATAGATTACTATAGATCCTCCAAGTGCAATGATAATGTATGAGCTGTGTGAAATGTAGAGAATTAAGTGGTGAATGAATGTGTTTTTGGTTCACTGCAGCTTTTCAGCTATGATTGGGGACCCTTGAGACTTTGGACATTTTTGTTTTTTCTACTATCCTAATCTGTGTGGCTTTATGTCCAGAATGAAAAAGAACCCTGCTATAGGTTCAAGGGCAGTTTACCCATGACATGTAAGGAAAGGTCCATGTGGCAATTAAATTTGAGACCATATGGCAAGTGCAGGGGAGCTCTACCCTGTGTTACAGAGTGTTAAGCTCAGGGCAGAGCTGCTGCTGCTGCCTCCACTGATGCTAAGAGAAGTGCAACTTAAGGGTTACCTTATGAATACATGAGGGGAGAACACACTTATTATATTAAACACGAGAATGAATGGGAGATTTTGGATAGATTTTTTTCTTTTTCTTTTTTCTTTCTTTCTTTCTTTCTTATTTATAATCTGAATGCAACTGAATAAAACAGCTTTGACAAGAAAACTCAAATCTAAAATTTGAAACCTATCTTGAAAATTTTATCGACCATAATTTCACACATATTTTTGCTTCATATTTAAAGTTTAATCATGGGTTGTGATTTCCATCTTTAAAATAAGCTAAGCGAAAGAGAGCCAAATCTGATCCCTTGATCTATAACTCCCTTTTAACTGTCAAAAAACCTGTGAAATTGAATTTGAGTAACTATTCTGAATGTTCGTATTACACCTTCAGAGAATTTTCATTGAAATTTCAAAAAGAATATAAAAGTGAAGAAAATTTAGAATTAAATTAACACGTGAAGTCAACTTCATCATGACCTGTAATCTGTAACTCCCTTTTAACTGTCAAAAATATCAGATTCATATTAATAATTCCTCAAGCAAGAGTAATAAAAACACCTCATTTTTATATCTCCCCTTGAAAATTACAAGTTACAATTTTTTTTTTTTTTTTTTTTTTTTATTGTGAACTTTGCAAATTCTAAAGGTTGTTAATAATCCAATAAATATCCAACTTTGATTATAAGTGACTTTCGTATAAGAATCAAGATTATTCTATTTATATGAATATAAATAGTTGATTGAACTCTATACTTCAAAAGTTAATTTGAGTAACACGATTATCTTTCAGACACGTCCTCTGCAGCACTTTAAAAACATGTTCAATTTTCATAGGGTTTGATTAAAATCATATGAGATTTTGTGGTAAGCTCTACTAAGAAAAAATTATAATTTGAGAATCCAATTGAGCAAACATGGCTCGCCAATTTCTTGACGCTGTTAGAGCAGCTGTGTTTGGCAGACCTACTAATAAAAGCATGAATAACAGTGAAGACTTTTAAAGTCAATTTATAATGTAACTTTATTAAAGATGAATAACAATAATTACATAGACCTACATTGGAAAAATTTCATTCATGTCTCAAATGCTTAGCCCTTTAAAAGTTTCTGATGAAGTGAATGTTTGGAAATATTCCATATTTCAAAATAACGATTGGTGTCAACTATATATTTACAAGGAAATATTTGCAAATTTAAATAATTCCCTACATAATTGATGACATCAAATTAGTTTGTTTATCTACAATGGTAAACAAAAAAAATTCCTAGATAATGTTGTAAATCAGTATGTGATTATTTGCTCTCAATTTGTACCAAATCAGACACAATGAACTAACAATGTATTTGAGTCATATTTGGTTCCATGTGTCAAGGTTGAGAAGCTTTCAAGATTTATTGTGTTGTTTAGAAGTTTTGTTCATATGGGTGTCAAAAATTAACATATGATACTTGCCTATACATTAACTTCAATTTCTAGGTATCCAAGATCATTTAAGATGGTAAATGATTGATGTCTTGAAAAACTCATTCAATGTTTTAGACTTAAATGAATTGCATCTATATTTTCTTTGTATACCTTTTCTTTTGAACCAATATTTTTCAAAAATTGAAAAATGCAAAAAAATATAAAACTCCAATGTACAGGTTTAGGATGGCATAAAGCCAATGGTACATATGCCTCTTTTTCGCCATTTGTACATTTATATAAATAAACAAACGGTTCATTAAAAAAATGTTCTGAAGTTTCATATTATATTTGCAAAATAATACATCCATCTAATAAATAAATATATATATACATATATATATTTGATTGTAGTAGCTTACTTAAATACATGTTCATTAGTATTTATTTAATGTGTTAAAACACACACCAAGCCTTGACACTAATTGATTGCTAAAGCATAATTGGTGCATCTTACAAAGACTATTTCAAACTTTATACTGCAATTGTTCATGGCACTCTAGTCCAGTTTAAATTTTTAAGTCTTTGTAAGCCACACCATTCATATTGTAGTTACTACAAGCTACACACAATTTTACTGTTACAAACCATTTGATATTGCATAAATTGTTTTCAAAAAATAGCCTTAGTAAAACAGAGAAGGTCTATTTTTGTACATGGTAGTTTGAGAATAATTTTATATATCATGTACAACTATTATTTGTAATATATTACTACAAGGTTTGCATGGTAAGTACCATGCTCTCATGTTGTATTTCCTGCTACCCTACACATGGTGAGAGATATCTCTAAAGCATCAGCATCTTTTGTTTTGTTTGCTAGTTGTAGCAGTAGTACTGCATCTGACTTGTGTAAGCACATAAAATAAAACAAAACAAACAAACAAATAAACGAACACATTTTATGTTCTTCTGAGGAATCACTCACACCAAATGCATGTCCTGATAACGAGCTTCAAAGTAGGAAAAATAGGTGGGGAAAAAAAAAATTGGGAAATTTGATGTCCATCAATTCAGTTCAGAGTGGATTTAAGCTGTAATGATGCCATAGGAAAATGCAACTACACTGCTACTCTAATGCTGCCCAGCAGTTGAGGATCACAAAAGAATATTATATACCAAGGAATGGAGGGGCTACCTTGCTCTAATTGACCTCCCTTGGTTAAAACCCTCCCAAGAAAAGGGTGTGTGTGTGTGTGTGTAGGAACAAACCAACTCCCTTAGAGTCATCATGTTCTGGTTCCTTCGAATGAACAGTGAACAACAAATAAACATGAACAAAAATACTGAAAAGAGCAAGAAAGCAAACATCTGGGTGTATATCCATTTCTGGGCTTCAAGACTGTTCTGAATGAGAGTCTTGATGGTGGATGGTTTTAGGTAGCATTGCTGGGCTTCTACACGGAAAATCAAAATGCATGTATGTGTGTATGTATGTATGAATGGTTCACCATTCTCCAAAGGGTGGAGGATTTCTATGGGGTCTATTCAGATCCAGGGAATCCTGCCAGTGATTGTGATTGCACTGCAAAATGAGCATTAGTGTGTCCCATACCAGGTCCATAGCTATGATTTCAGACAGAATTGCACCCCTGTGGCCTGCATTGATTTCCTCAAAGAAGTCACCAGACAATGATCATTCCAATTTCAGAAGAGGCATTGTCTCTGCACTGACAGGGTGGAGACATGCTGCTGAGAAAGTGCTTCATAATGGACCATGTTCTGCAAATGGGACTGGAACTAATCTGATTTTGATTTGCACGATTTCAAAAACCCTGGCCTGCGCCTTCTTCGTTGGACACGCTTAAAGGACGACACTATTCTCATTGCAGAAAAGAGTGAAAAGTACACACATTTTTATCGTCTGCAAACCCAACTCTGTTTCCAAATGGACGATTTTGGGTGATCAGTGCTCAAACCTATTAGAAACTAGACGGCCAGTTGGGATTATTTCCGGGCGATGCACACTACTAGAGCGCTTTCTAGTGCTCCAGTGGCTAATCAAAAGCTTTTTTCACTGTACACTTACTGTGAAACGAGATGCTACAAACTCGACAGTGGCTGCTCCTACAAGTGATCTGTGGATTACTACCCGGTTTCGTGGATGAAGATTACCGTCGTCTTTGACGACTGTTGACGATCCTAACCTGAAATTCTTCTTACTGTTTCCAGTGGAACTCTGGTTACAGAAAAGCATCTTTAAACAGGACAAGGTCATTGAAGGTCCGGAGTCTGGGACATCTCTTCAAAATGGTGATGAGTCCATAACATTAGCTTTAAATCATGGAACTTCCACCGTTGTTCTCCTTCACTGTAGCAGCTGCACTTGAAGTCGAGCAAGAAAACGGCGGAACAGAATCTGGTTCCTTCGTGGTTTTAAAAAACTACTAAAACTTGCAGAAGTGCTCAAGAGCCGGATGGCCCTACTAACACACAGGCCTGAAGGAGTAACTCATGGCACCTGACTTTCTAAGATCACTATCGCTGGTACACCAATGCGCTAGTTACATAATTTGACCCCATTTCATATACCTACTACATCTGACGAAAAGTGAACGATTTTTAATCTGCAATGTCTGAGAGGGTGAGCAAGGTACAATTACGCAGAGTTAAGTCGCGAAGGGTAGAGCAGTGCATTGTGAGAGAAGTTGCCAGAGCTAATGAACATCAAGGCTGAATCAAAACTTTCCTTAACGCTTCAATTAAGGTTCCAGAGGATTTTATTTCCGACGGCGTCGTTAATGCTGGTGACTGCGAAAATAGGTCACACGGAACAGGTTAGGCCTCAACTTCGCATTGGTGACCATAACAAGAGGAACTTCCCAGTCAAAGCCACAGGTGAGCCTCACACCCCTCCTCTCAGTTCGTGGAAACGACACTTTAAGGATTAATCCTGTTGCAACATGGTTTAGGCCGTTGGCAAAGGATCCGGATTTGAAGTCTCTACGTCTAATCCTTCAAATTGCAGGTTAGCCACAATGTGAAAATAATCGCCAGACAAGAAATCCACGAAAATCACATCGACATACCTTTGTACATGTGATGATGCATTGCACAACTCCACGAGTCAGTCTCTGGAGGCTACATCTAGTCACATCCAAACCAAACGATTCCACTGCTTGCAGCAGAAAGCTGTGAAAATTACGAAGCAGTTGACTCCACACCATCTCAATGACGATCTCCTTCTCTGAGAAATGCACGTAGATATGGACAGGCTTCGCATCTATGTTTAGATCCTCTGAGGCGTTCGTAATCGGCTTCACCATCAAATCTCGCACCATGATTGACGAAGATATGGGTGAATCTGTCCTACAATTTTCCGTAGATTGATTCACGCAGGATGTGGTTATCACCCCGGAAGAATCATGCGCAGTCTTTAACCACTTCCCCTTATCATGGCGCGGGGATAGACCATTAACAGATTGGTGTTGCGCCGCCAATTTCAATTTAGCTCGACGCTTCAAAAGCTCGCTCTTCTTATGTTGCAGGTTTTTCACAAACGACATTGCGTCCTCAACCACCACAGCCCTTTCACGCTGGAAAAAACAACAGTCACAGCAAATCCTCGTCAATCGAATGCGATGTAGCACCGCAAGAACTACCACTCATTCCTATCAATGATCCGACAGCGAATTCTCAACTTTGTCAATGAAGCTAGGGTTGAAGGGACTACTTTTGCTGCCGGGGGTAGCAATGACTCCAGAATCGAGTACTTGGCAGCCATGTCATCTCGGCGCTGGCGCTCTCGTATGATGTGCTCTGCTTGAGTAGGCAATCGTGATTCCTTAGGGGGTTCGGCGACCGCAGCTTCAGGTTTTGGTTTCGCCTTCGTCGATTTCTTCGTCGACGCTCTCACTGCGCGGGTTCTCTTCGGTTTGGCAGCTGGTGGAGTGACCGGTGCCTCATGGGATACCGTCAGCGACTGTGCCCCCGGGAGTGGTACAGTCGACGATTGTGGTGATCCTACAGGATCGGAGATGGAGGGGAACGAATTTGAAGGGGTATTGACTGCCGGAAGTAAGTTTTTACAGTTCGATGCAGGGGCTGGAATATCACAAGACCATAAAGGACTTGAAGTTTGTTTATCAGAACCAAAGGAGGAGTTAGGGGAAATTGATTCAGCATCAGCAGAGACGGGAGCAGAGAGTGTATGACTATCTTGAATGATATCGGGAAGCTCAATGTCCAGAATATCATCAATGCTGCTCTCAGGAATCTCAATATCGGCTAGCAACGCACTGAATGGCATCTGCCATTGAAAAAAGTCGTCCAATTCAATATCCATGACTATCACTGAAATCTCTACACCTACAATGCTTCAGAAGTAAAGTCAATTGAAACGAATCGTCCACAGGAAATATCTTTCAAGCTCACTACAGCTTCAATACTCCAAACCCGAAATGGTTTCGTCAGTTATGTCCGGAAGTGTAACTCACACTTTCACTGTTTTAGTAAATCGTAGCATTCTATCTTTTAGAGGTTTACACCTTTCTATGACTAGTTGTCGACTGGTTCATGTGCACACCAATCACCGAGTCTCAGAATAGCTGCGTGATGCTCTGGAAAGAAACGATTCCATAGCCGAATCGTGCGTTCCCTCCACTACATCCGCTTCAGCCTACTGTATTTCAATTCAAGATTCTCTGGGCACTTTGTATATGCATAGCCTTCGCGATGATGAAAACTGTCGATCAAAATTTAGCTTGGTACAACTCAGATGGGAATGTTAGCTGGAATGGCAGGTCTGCAGCACCCCAGGGGGTAGAGGAGGACATTTAGAGATCACAGACTAGCTCAAAGCTTGGCAATAGAATAAACTCTAGACATTTGAAGCCTATACGTGCTCTTCCTTTGCCTCTTCAATGGACATCTCCACGCTCTGCAGTGGAACTATCTATTGAGATTACACAACGAAGAGTCCAACTCGATTAGAGGTACGACCGCAGAATCAGCAACCTAATGACTTGCCCTTCGATCAACTGGTGGTTCTGTGAGGTGTCTAGTCTTATAAGCAAAACTTCACTGCATGGTTCAGTGAATCAGCTTAAAAGTAAAGGGATAGCTAAGAGTGTAAGATTCAATTCTAGACCCCTCGGAATATACCATTTCTCCGTGCGAGACCTCGTGACGATTGTTCCTAAATTAATCAACCCCAATGCAGTCATCTGTGAAGCTGTCTATATCCAACGGCACTCGATTATCACGAGCCTCTTCGATCAACGTCACGCAATTAGGTTCGCTTAGCTCGTACTGAGTTCTTTCCAGCCAAAATACGACGAGATGAGATGACGATGCCAACTTGTCAACCTCTGGCTGGTGAGACGGCGATCTCGGACAGCAGTCACTGAAGCCGCTTTTATGATTTAATAAATATCCATCCCTCGACAACTGAGACTGAGAATCGACGCAGCAGGCTGTTTTGCAGTTGCTCTATTTCAAGGGTGTCCCATCAGTTCCCGATAAAAGAAAACAGGAATTCTAGCTGATTATAGCCAAGATTATCCCATTCGTCCGAATCTCTTTAAAGTTGCATGAAGTCCAATACCAACGGCTATTACAGTCCACACTCGATGTGTGTTAACACTTAGGAGAAAGGAAACTTGTGACATTTATGTGGTATTAACACTGAAACACTTATTGGAGCAGCATAGACAATTTGTAACACTTACATGAATAATATTTATGTGACTTTGGAATTAAAAAGAAAAATATTTATAGAAATGAAAGGATGAAAATACATAAGACATAAATGTCATCATACATCTAGGCATAATGGAAGGACAAATCTAAAGTAGTTTGATGAGATTCTTGTGTATGTCAAGTTTCTATTTTCTTTTGAAGTATTCAAATGTTTTGGATGAGAGATATAAGATTAGTGGGCCTTTATTCCAAAAATTGTTATAAGATTACTAGTGCACTTTCAACATCCTTGAATCCTACTTTATCTACCACCAAATCACCAATTTATATATTATCAACTTTTTAATGGATTTATTGTTAGTTGCATCATCTCTTTCATCAAGTATAGTTATAATTTCTTCTTCATTAGTTGTGTAGGGATTGTTTAGATCAAATTCCAATTCATAATTAATAAATTCATATGCATTTATAATAGGTTTCACTTTCTATAGATATTAATATTAGTTTGTTTTTTATAAGGTATAACTTCTTCCAACTCTTTCTTTTGTATTGCTTCTTGAGCTTCTATATCTCTCATAATAACCTCTTCTACTTTTATATTGTTAAAAAATTCCAAAAATATATATGTACATTTCCAACAATCATGTATCAAGTATTCTCTAGCATTGTCACAATTTGATATACATTAATATCTTTTTTCTTATTTTCTATAAAAGAATCTATCAAGTGCTTAATCAATTATATGATGTATTGAACATTGAATAATTGAATAATTTTTGCATTTATGGTTTGAAATCTACTTATGGTATTTTGAGGCAAAAATTCAAATCTAGTGACTATCAATTGTGCATCTATATTAGATACTAAATAATTTGAGAAATTATTAATTAATAGTAATACCTTCTCTTTATGTATAAAAACCACCATCTTTTCAATATCAAGTATAAATTCTTCAAATACACTTGTAGTCATTCAAACTTTTTTATTTACAAACCATTTCATGTCAAGGTTGTTTAAATTGAAAATGTACCTATAAAAAAATGCTCAAGCTTCTATACACTTGTTTATAATTAATGGAAGAAGTTTGATAGTACCATCAACATTTGCAATAAATGCAACAATCATGTATTCCTTCTTATTCATCTTCCCAAACAACTTCTTTATAGCAACTATACAATTTGGTTCAATCCTATAAAAGAGGTTTGTCTCGTCTATATTGAATACATCAAAAATAACATACTGAAACATAAAAAGTTTAATTTTCTCTATCTTTCTTAAGGCATCAAAGAAAGTACCAACAAATGCATCTTTTCCATGACAAGTATACCTCTTGATATAAAATCTCTCTTTAAATCTATTTATCTATTTATATAAAAATTGAAGCTTTTTTTCATCCTTCCTTATGGATATTCTGCTATAAAATCTCTTTGCAATAACAACTATAAGATCATTATACAAAGCAAAATTATGACCTTTTATAAGCTTAAATCAAATAAATATAGTTTAATTCATTTGTGGATATTGAGCTTCTTTACTATACTTTGAAACAATTTGATGTTGAATATCAATTTTTAATAAATCTCTCTTCTTTAATAGTCTACAAATGTTCATCTCAAAAATTGAGGCATAATAAGTAGAATTAACCCATGTAGCCAAAATCTTATTAATAATATTATATCTATAAGAAACCAACCTCTAATGATATTAGAAGATTTTTCAAAATGGAATTGGATTATTTTTAAAGTCTAAGATCTTTCTAATCTATAGGAATATAAATCTCGTTAGAATATAGAATAACATAGATTATAAAAAAATTAAACAAAAATAAATATAATGGAATATAAAAGACAAAATAGAATAAAAGAGAATAGATAGAATTGAACAAAAAAGTGCAAAACTAAATTTTATTAAGAAAAAGAGATTCAAGCTATACTTAACTAGATACCCAAATGGCCTTGGCTAGTCCTATTTATACTTTGTCCAACCATTCTCGAATTTTTTAAAATATCCCTAATAGTAGACTTGATCTAAATAACTATCATAAATCTTTTTTTAGAATATTCTATAATAGATTTTACATAGACCATCAATCTAGTTCAAATTTTAGAAACTTCTTAAAACTTCTAAAAACTTCTCAAATATGGTTGTAACTATCTATTACTATGTGTCAATAACAAAAATATTTTATCTATACTCCAATATAGTTAATCTCGTTCTATTAATGTAGAACGTCCTTGTTTTGCTCCCAATGGTACCTCCAAATTATTTCTTCATAATGGATGAAATTTTTTGCAAATTTCTATATTCTATTATGGATGGAATAATCTTTCCAAAGGACTTTGTATTAAAGTTGTGGATGTCCATTTCTATGGCGAAGGTAATAATATTCCAAAATGATGTCTATTTCATATTCTTATTGATCATTAATTACAATTAGAGGTGGTGGTAGTGGTTGGTGTTGATTTAAAAAGTACCTTGGCTTAGTATGAAATTCCTTAAGTTGCAAAATATGCATCCAAATATATGGCAAAAGCTCAAGGCAATATGCAATATGAAAAACCACTACACAAATATAAAAAGGTCCAAGCCATTGAGGTGCCAACTTACAAATTTGGATTGATGTAGCAAGTAAAAAATTTACATTATAAAGTAATATTTGGTCATCTACTTAGAAGGTCTTATATTACTGGTGGTTATCTGTATATTGTTTTTATCAATTTTGTGCAATAAGGAGGTAGTGTTGTGTGTCTTATAAGGCTATTCTTAGTTATTTTATAAACTCTTATATTGTCAAGTTATTGGTATTAATGAGATGATGGAGAATTATTAGTATAATTAAATGTTGATTAGTCTTACAAAAGAATTTTAAATAATTGATACTTCCTTGAATAATATTGTTATAAGCAAACTTTAAAAGCATCAAATATTCATCTTAGTCATTATAATGAATAGCAAAAAATATTCATAGCATATCCTCTAAAGTCCAACTTATATACTCTATTTGTTTATTTATTTGAAAATAAAAGGCTATGGACATGGTAAGCCATGTGCCTAGTAGCTTGAACAAAGCTTGTTAAAAACTTCTCGTAAAGCATGGATCTTGTTCTAAAATAATGATACAAAATAATTAATGGTGACAAAAGATAATATCAAAAAAGACATGTACAAGTGCTAGAGATCAATATCATAGTGTACCATAGCCAAATGAAGTTGTTTTGAAAGTTGATCCACAAAAATAGCAATTGCAATGTAACTGTGAGGCATCTACAACAAACACATAATGAGATCCATAGTCTTATGCTTCCAACATATCATAGATAGTGAAATTGGCTATAATAGTCTAGGAGATGGTGCATTGCGTACTTTATTACATTGGCATAATTTATAAGAGTGCTCAAAAGCTTGAACATCACAATTTAAACCATATGCTGAAGATTTGTTCTAGAATCTTCCTACACCTTAGATGTCTAAATATTAGAATGTTATGTCCTTTTGAGAGTATGAGTATTCAGAGTATAGTATTGTTAGATATATAAATCTAATTGTTGAAATAGAGTAAGCCATCACTAATATGATAATCTTAATATTATACATTGTTCACATTTAGCTAATCAATAATCATCTTAAAATAAGCATCTCAATGTATAGCTTCCTTCTATTCTACTTCTTTGGTTAGATTTGATATAACATTATTAATAGTAGTGACTTCTAACTTGTCTTTTGATTTAGGCTTCAAATATGATTTGTGCAATAAGGTATTTGATACAATGTATTGTTGCCTTTTCTTATATTCAAGCTTAATATCAAAGAGCTATAATTATTCTTCCAAGTGATAATGTTGTAATTTCATATTTTTTAGATACAAATCATGTGATAAGGATCAATGGTCAATCAGAACAATTACTAGCTTTTCTAATAGATAGTATTATTATATCTTTATGGTATGTATAATTTTTAGTTTTCCTCAATTATGTATAAAGTAATTATGATCTATCCTTCTAAATTTGCATGATTCATATGTCATAGATTGAAGGCTCTTATCAAAGTCTTCTCAAAGTATTGCATCAATAGCAAAGTCAAAAGCATCAACGTCAAGTATATAAAGAAGATTAGAATCATGCGATTGCAATATTAGAAGAATTATGAGTGCTTTCAACTTATCAAAGGCCCTTTTATGCTCTACTTTCTATTCAAATGAGGTACCTTCCTTCAATAAACTTATTAATAAGACACAAATGTATGAAAATTGTTAAATAAAATGGTGATAATATCCTATGATGAGTACTTTCTTGAATGATGCCCTTCTCCAAGAGTTCATCCAATGTCTTTTGTAACTCTTCAAGTATATTTGGTGCTAGATAATAAATTAGTCAACTTACAAGTTTGGCCTCAAGCAATAGTTCTATTTGGAAGAAGGCACCTCGATCAAGTAG